CCCTACTGGCACAGTATAAAGTTTCAAAATAGCAAAAGAAAAACCAACATTAAAATGAGCTCAAAGGGCTAAATTTGGGATCTTTATAAGTATTTGAAAGCAGACTAGTGGACTCAGGTAAACTTCGTAGGAGTCCTGTTGGAAGGATTTTACAAAGATTGTCTTTGACTCTAAAATTATGCTAACTAACCACAAATGATGACTTTTGTCCAGTGATCTGGAGACTAGCTACAATTTTAATAACATGTTTAAGGGAAACAAAAAGAAGGCTGGGGAATTGTGGGCCATAGAACTTGATATGCTCTCCTATTTCCTGAAATGTAAGATCCTCTGGGTCAGAATGTACTGAATGGACTTTTCATATATATACCTTTTTATCTCTACAGAGATTTTGTAGGCACCTGTGTGTTATACCAATTAACTAGAGCATTTAGATGTTAAAACTATATGCAGTTTATAAATAGTTCATAAAATGCTTTGAAAATGGAAAATGCTAGATGAGCTCTCAAATGATTATATATAAAAAGCCTATGGTAGGTAATCATTTAATTTAATAACTGGTTCCTTAAAAGGCATAGTACTTTATAGCTAAACAGAATTTCTGATCTTGAATCATTAATATTAGTTTATTTAGAGTAAAATGCTATTAGAGAGCAAATTAGAGATACTGATCAAGCTATTTTCAGTTTAGACTGATATTATTCATATCTCCATCCTTTCATAGACAAATTCAGCCTTCTCTCAGGTCCTTGCCGATTTTATGCAGATTCTCCCCACATATACATGACTCTGTTATTCTTCCTGCCTTACCCTCAGTTTTCCTTTTTCTTTGCACCTATTTGCCTTCAGGTGTCTTATATGAACCTGTGATTTTATGACAACCCTAAACAGTTTTAAGCCAGTATGTCACATGATCAATGACAATAAATCCTTTTAGGAGCAATGAAGTCATGAGATGCAGCCAGTGGTCAGCACTGGGCACTGTCATTGATCACTTCAGCCTACTATCATCATTCTATAGTTCTACGTCTACTAATTGAACTTTGCTTTCATCTCCTGACAAGTCTTCATTCAGAAGCATTAAAATTCAACATAATTCTATTTATCATCCCCACAGGACTACTCATAAGCAAAATTTTAGAAAAGGCAAAGAATTTTTTTATCATTTCCCACTTACCCCTTAAGGACTTTCCTACATCTTCACTGGTTTTCCAGAATCTTTTCTATCACTCTAGGAAAATGCTCTCTATGCTTGCCCCATGACTTTGATCTTTCCTCATCCCTGCTGTCATTTAAATTTAGCTCTCCAATGTCCCACAGTATATCTTCTTTAGTGAAAAACCCAAATAAAGTCATTCTTCTGTAAAGTGACTGTTAATGTCTAACTATAGGCACTAAATTAATGCTGCCTACTGCCTAACAACATTCTTGCTAAATCCAATTAATATTTTTCAATCCTTATGTTCAACTCATTCAACATCACTCTCCTCTGAGAGCCCTGGCTTCCACAACTCTACTTTCTACAGGACTTCCTATTTGACTGGTTGCTCCTTTTTTAACCCAAACTTTAAACACTAGGCATGAATAAGGCTTGGTGTTGGACCCACTTATTTCCCACACTTGAACTTTTATGGATTTACATCACCTTTACATAAGAACTAAGTTAATCTCTAGCTTCGTTAGATCTCTTTCATGGCTTCCAACTCACCTATCTACTATCTACCATGTTCAGGATGGAACTTTTGAGTTCAGTCACCTTCTCCATCTTCCAACCTATTTTCCCTCTTAAGCTTCCCATTGCAGTAATTTGGCCTCAAACCTAGGTAGAAGTCATCGTTCTGTTTCCTCACCTTCCACATCAAATTCCTGAGGTCTACCAATTCTGTACAAATTTGGTTTAAAAATACATCCCAAATCCACCCTCTTTTCTCCATTACTAGCTTACTGCCCTTCCAGGCTGTACCACCTCTTGAGTTTCTGCTTTTACTCTGGCCTCTCTACAAATTAATTTCCCCACACTATAATCAAAGTATTCAGATGCCATTACCATTATACATAAAACCCAGCTCCGTGCCACTCCAGCTCTTCTTCCCATTGAATCCATGCTACAGATATACAAATCTTCTTTCAATACATTTAATTCCCCAAACCACCCATTTTCTGCTTCAGGACCTTTGCACATACTATTCCCCCCGAAAACTTTTCTCTCCTTTTTGCAGAACTAGCTTCTTCTCTTCTATGTCTGGAAGATATTCCCTGACTTCCATATCTAGAGCACATTCTCCTCTCACGTTATCTACCATATATTTAGTCCCACACTGATAAAACTTTTAAAAATTCCACTCCTTTTATCACATATGCTCCATGAGAACAAAACCTGTGTCTCGTCCACTAGCAAATCTATCTCGGGGCCTGTTATATGCCAGCTGCTCAATAAATGCAGAACTGTAGTTACCTGAAGAAATTGACTGCATGTAGGAAATGCAAGCTCCATGGCAGGACGGTAGAAGAGGTCTGATATGAGTTCACTACATATCAGGCACTGTGCTGCAACTAAGTAAAATGATAGACAATGTAAGTACTAACAATCACGTAGTAAATCCAAGATGAGGAAACAGACTATAATGAAAGCACAGGTAAGTACCCAAAATAGTATGAAGAGTCTAACATGTTAAGTTCTTACCTACACCACAGTATGGCAGAGGTTAAGAGTCCTCCAGAAAGAGGGACTAACATAAATAAAACCCCAAAGCATGAGTACTGGATTGTGGAGTGCTCAGTCCACAGGTTGACAGATATTTAAGGTGAATTAAGACTCAAGCTGGAGTAGGACAGATATGAGACAACATTTAAGAGGTAAGTAGGACAGCTCTTACACGTGATTCACTATCTTAAGTTTTCAAACAAAAATCATTTTCCCCACATTGAATTTTCTTTCTCCCTGTCCTTACTTTCTTTCAAATACTGCTTCTTTTATGTAACTCTTGACTATACTTAGAGATCTACCTAAGGACTGAAAAGGTAATCTGGCCATCCCAGTAATCTTCTTCTCTAATATAATTAAATTCTCTTGACCTACTTAGGTCATTTCTAACTAAATATTTTATTAGTGTCCTGAAATTAAAGCAGTAAACTGATAGCTATCCTATAATTATCAAAAAGATGGAGCCTGATATTACCTAAAATTCTCATGTGAAACCAGAATTCTCACAATTCTTTCAAATTAATCCCTACCCTTGCCCAATGACCAATCACAGCAAAGGATAAAAAACATGTAGCAAGAGGACAAGTCTTTCCCCCCAGCTCCCATCTTTCTTTCCTATTTCCCCCTAAAAAAACACCCATAGTATCTGTACTCATGCTCTATTGCACGTCTTCCTCTTCCCCAGTCACAGCCATGAATGCATATTTCTTTTTAATTCCCTTAATAAAAGCCCTGGTCTAGTCCCCTGCTTTTCTCATAGTTTCCTCCCTTTCAATGTTGGCTCAATTCAAGTTTAAAAAAATGCTAATACCCCTAGTCAACCACGAGGACCAAGGAACAGAAACCACTCAAATTAGTTTAAAGAGGGAATTTATTAGAAGGATACAAAGGTTATGGCAGGGAATCTAACAACTGTGATGGTGATAAGATAGTATCACACCTTTCTGAAGGGCAGATCATGTTGCAATCAAACTTCTACTTCCTTCTGGGTTTTGCAAGATCACGAAGCAAATATGTTAGAGGATGTTCCTCCCTGTATGATGCACAAGGGACTAGAATGTGGATTCACTTCTGCTTGCTTTCTGGTCCTTATATTCCTTTATGCTGGCCTCAAACTTCTCAAGCACATGTTGGCAGACATTCATGAGCTCATTCAGGCCTCTCTGAAATGGCTCAACAGCTGGAAGACCTCCTCGAGTCTGAATGCGTAAATTAATTTTACTCTCTGAAGGATGGGTTGTAGTGTAACCACAAAATTCCACTTCCGGGTTCTTCATGATCATGTACCGAAGAGAATTTCCTAGAGTATGGTCCTCCTCGTGCAAAACAAATGTCACACAGTGTCTATCTGTTCCAGCTGCCTGGACCATTTCCAGGGCTGTCTTCCTCTCGCCTTCAGCCATTGAGGTCTTCAATCCAGACATTTTTCTACACACATATTTTTTATAAAAATGAGATTATACTGAATATTTTATTACTAGCTTTTTTCATTTACTATATCACAATTGTTACACATTAATACTCTAATGCACTCCAATCACACAGAATTATTAGCATTAGCCCCTTATTTTCCTGCCTCCACATATTCTACCAATAAACCCCTAACTAACCTCCAGTTTCTCCCTACTCCATCTGACCATCCACATGCCCTCAGGGGAGTCTCTTTAAAACACAAACTTAAATGTTTGCTAAAATATTCTTTTGATAAAATCACAAGAAAGGATAGGATCAGAGTAGGGTGGCCCCGCTAAAGGAAGAAAAGGGAGTTGGAAGGCATAAACAGATTATTGTAAGATTGCAGACTACACAGGATCAACGTGTAGGCCCTTTTGAAGGAGATAAGGAAACTAGTTCGATCCAGAAGAGTCGAGTCAGCAGGAGGGAGAAAAGATAACTCAGAGCAGAGGAGGGACTTGGGCCACAGTTACAGTGCCTTAGGCCTGACTGAATACACAAATACTATCACTTGGGGACAGTGGCCTGGGGAGTGATTTTACACGTTTGCTAGATTTACTCTTGTTCTAATTGGGGATTGGCAGTTTGGGGGTTTCTCAACAACTTATCTTCTTCCCAGAGCGTCTCTATTCAAACACATCCCTGTTTCCTACCCTCTTTTCCCAAGCGGAGGCCCCTCTCCCGGCCAGATGCCCATTTCTCTCTAGTCCCCTGCACTCCCAGTCAGGCTGGGACGCGGCAGAGGCTGAGGCCCCGGCCGGCCGCGTACCCCTCCTCGGCCGCTAGCGCCAGTGCAGGGCGCGACCCGTTCCTCCCGCCCGCCTCCTCGGACAGACGTTACCTCTCCAACTCCTGGTCCTCTTCCATCGCGGGGGCGGCTTCCGGAATCCTCAGGTGGTGCTGACGGACGGAAGGCTCAGCCCCATCACGCGAAGCATGCGAGCCAAAGAGGAAGGAAGGAACCGCTGACGGAAGGGGCGGAGGACGGAAGGAGGGAGGAGGAGTCGCAGCGGCGCCACAGGGCCCATCCACTGGGCCAGACTCGGAGGCTCCTCCCTGAGGCCCCGCCCCCAGGGGGAAGAGGGCGGTAACCAGGCCAGAGCGGCTACACCTGGCGCTTCTGGAGTAGGTCCGCCTCGGGAGCTAGCGGGGAGAGGTGGAACTGGGCTCCGGCCCCAGCCCCAAGGCAGAGACGAGCCTGTGGGCGCCTGAGCTCAGTCCTGGGCACCTTTCTCCAGGTGTAGGCGAAGTGGGTGGGAACTACCTGGCTCTCCCAAATAACCTTCTTAGGGCCCAAATCCGGCTCCTTTTTGACTTACTGCTGCTAGACTTGCGGGGGAAGGTGTTACTCCCACACAGGACCCCAGCTTTTTGGGGGGGAGGGGCTTTCATGGGACTATAGGCTTAATCTATAGTTAATAAATACACCTTGATGAATTTCACAATAGAATAGAATGGGTTTAAGACGATTTTTAAGTCTTGGTCATTTGAGGGAACAGTGAGAGTTTGGAAGGAAACTTTTCCCTCCCATCCTTTTTCTCCTAGGATCTTTTCTACCCTTGTGGTACGTCCTTCCCCTCTTCGGACTTCCTTTTCCCTTTACTCTTTTGGCTTCTTCAACCTCCTCACCTGCGGAACTTCCCTCACCTTTGTTCTCAGGTGCCCTGCCCCGCCTCGGCAACCTTTCCACACAGACTCGCTCTCAGTCCCCTTCTTCCGGCGTACCTCTCCTCTCTCAGGTATTCTTCCCTAAGTATTCCCTTCCTCGTTCTTCTGCTATCCTCGTCTTTCTCCTCCTGGCCAACCCCTGCCCCTACCACCCTACCCCAGCTGTCCTGTCGCCCAGCACACCCACACTTCTACTTTCCTGTGCCACCTGTTCTTCCCCGAGCCCCTTAGAGATTCCCTGCTTTCCCCCGCTGTTCATGCACCTCGCGGCCGAAGACCGGGAGGGTAGAGACACTTGAGCCTGTCTTCTGCGAGGTAAGCCGAAGAACCCTGCGGAAAGCGGGTGGGGGGAGGGCAGGCGGCTTGGGGTGTAGTGGGCTCACTCTAACCCGGGAGTGACGGCCCCGGCTGACCCGCCCCCTAAGCCCTAGGATTGGTGGGTCTGTTCTGTCCCGCCCCCTCCTCCGGCCTTTTCTGCCACCGGTTGGTCCAGGTGCGTGTCGGATTGGGTGGCTGGGCCCCGGCGCTTGCCCCCGGGAAGACAGCAGGGGCGGTTGAGAAGTGAAATCTTGGCTGGACTTTGCTTCTTGCCAGGAAATCTGCAGCGGCGGCGGCGGCGGCGGCGGCGGCGGCGAACGCAACAGCAGACGCCGCGCAAGCAGCCCCGATTCCCGACTTAGCGGAGGCCGCCTAGCTCCCGGCTCCCTCTGCGGGCCGATGAGAGCGGAGCTGGCGCTGGGCTGCGGCTCCGGGAGCGGCTGCGTGCCCCGGACAGCCGCGCTTTTCCCAGTGAGTAACTTTGGCCCGCCTAGCTTCGCTCCCTCCCGCCCGGTCCCCTGCAGCCGCCTCAGGTGCGGGCGTCGGTGGGGTGCGGGGTAGCGCTGTACCCAGGAGGCAGCCGAAGGGGCGCCACGGCAGTTCTCTGCGGCTGTTCTCCTCCCTGGTCCCGGCTGCAGGGGGACGCGGACCAGTTGTGGGCTGGCTGCCCTGGTCCGGGAATGGAAGAGACTCGCTGCCCTGCTCCCAGTGTCTGCCGCCCCGCAGGCGCCGGGGACAGTCAGGCGGCCCCCGACTGGTTACCATTTGATTCTGGCGACGGTGTTGCTGATCTGAGTTTTTGCTTTTTTAGGGAGGGGAGAGGTGGGACTGAGTTCTTATTTCCTGCGTGTATGTTGTCCTGAGTGAGTGTGGTACTAGCTGCCTTACGTCGGGTCTTGTTCCCCTGGAAAGGAATGGGGAGAGACCATACCCTCCAACCCAGCCTCTTGCCCATAAATCTCACCTTACCCTTTAGACTAGAGAGGGTGGGAGAGAGATTTGACATCTTGGCGGGGGGGGGGTGCGGGGAGAGGGAGATATCAAAATAAGTGCATTGATTTGAAAGCAGTCGCAAACAAAGCACCGTTTAGGAAATACATCTCTCGCTTTGCAAAGAAAGCTTTATGCCATGTTTTAGGTGAAGGACTTTTGACTTATATGTAGTGTTTCTTCTTACATTTAAGTTTACATCTAAGGCTATGAATCAATACATCCGTATTGGCCAGGAACTACTGTACACTCATGCACGGGCTGGGCTAAACTGTATAGATGTTTCTGTTTAAATCACAGAAACCAGAAACGAAGTTGAGTGAAAAGCAATGGTGAACTCCAGTGTATGGGAACTGCCTGCACTTTAAAAATTTCTCATTCTTGGAACAGTAGTACTTATTTGTAAATTGGCCTTTGTCTCAAGGCAGATGATATTTTTCTTGGCATGTACGGTGATGCAGCACTAGTGAACTTGGACCTCAGTCATTTAATTTTATTTATTTTGATAGTTTTGATTCTCATCTCCATATTCCTTTTGAAAATGGACTTTGATCCAATATCCTTTTTGGTCTGTCAAAGCTTTGTTAGGCAATGAATAACAAAGTTTTGCCTTTTTAGTTTGTCCAAGTCACATATGTGAGTTTTTCCCTAGGGGTAAAATGTAGGCCAAATCAGAACTAAAGTAGAAAAACACTACTTTTAATTTGACCCACTTGTGCATTAACATTCCTAATTCTGTATCTTGTTTCTCTCCTTTCCTCATCAAGTTAGGTATTTTTCATTATTTATTCATTCAGCAAATGGTAGAGTGCCTGCTGCATGCCAGACATTGATGGCAGGAGTAGCTTTTACCTAAGTTGTTATAGTCTCATTTGGAAGCTGATCCATAACTTCTATTCCACTGGCTCTCTGAAAGTAATTTGAGCCAAGTGCTGTGGGAACTTAAGAGAGGGAGCATTTCTGCCTGGAGTTTGTTAGGGAAGGCTTCACATAGGCACTGACTCTTCATATTGGGGTGGGGTTTTGCCAGGTGCATTTGGAGCAGAGGGACTAACATGGTAGGGTATTGCATTGAGATCTGCATATGTTTACTCCGGCTAAAGCACACAGTGTCCGGGGTTGGAGTAGTTGTTGGGGGCTGGAGTATCACTCATTTCAGAGCACTTAGCACTTTATCTTGCTTATAGTAGGCACTTAAATATTTGTTGAAGTGACTTGAACAGAAACATGAAGGATTTTGTCTGCCAAATTAAGAAAATTGGACTTTATTTTAATCAGGAGAATGTTATGATGTCATCTGTGTTCCAAAAACGTTTCTACAGCAGTCTGGAGGATGGTGGCGTCCAGGTGGGAGGTGCGGAGACTAAAGTAGGCACTGTTAGCTATAGGTGGTATGTGCTCAGGGATTTTCAGTGCACAATGTCTGGGTTTGAATCTGGCCCTCTCACTCCCTGTGTAACCTCTTTTTTCCTTAGGTTCTTCATTTCAGAGGGTTTGGGGGATGAAACTTGGAAAAACATGTATACATAGAATAACACTTGGCACATGGTAAGGAACTGATAGATACAAGTTGTTATCCTGTGTGAAGGCAGTAGAAGTACAAATGATGGGGCATTTAGGAGGTATAATTGGTTGGGCTAGATAAGTTACTCGATATGACTAGAGGTATTAGAGTGTACTGGTTAAGCTTTCTGTGGAATCAGAACAGGGGTTAACTTCTGTCACTTACCCTTAGAATTACTATCCTGACTGAGATTTTGTTTCCTAATGTTTAGGAAGTAAGCATAGAACCTGTCTAGTAGGGTTTGAGGATCAAGTGAAATTATGCATGTAATGCTTTTGGCAGAGTACCCAGCACATGACGAGTGCTCAATAAATATTAGTTGTTCCTTTAGTGATGACATTAGTGAGCTAATGGAATGTTAGAAGATATGAAAAGGAGTAGTTAAAAACAGTTGATGGTAGGAGCCAGGAAGGGAAGATAAACTAGCTTTGGACCTACCCAGTAAGATGCTAATGGATGATTGAGATGTCTGTGATGAAGTTGTTGGATAGATATGTGCAACAGGAACTAGGAAAGAATGGAAAGAAAAAAAAATAGTTCACCTAAACCTAGGTGAACTATTAAATAGTTTACAAGTATTTGTGAATGTGGTAAATTTTATGGAGGTTTTGGGGTAAGAGGAGGCAGAGGTGAGGTTTATGCTATAGCAGTGCCAGGAGTGTTGATGTTGAATATTAGGCATCTCTATCTTTAAATGCATTTTTGTCACCATCACAGGGAACTCCAGGCTCATATAATCTCATTGCTTCTGTGCCTTTCCCCCTTTCCTCCTTCTCTCCATTTTGCGTGCCCCTCCCCATCCAGATCATTTTTTAAATTTTATTATGCAGAGCCATTTATGGTAACTTTTCCCTGCATATGGGGTGAAAGTTCACTCCAGCCCCATCTTTCTATATTGAAATCCAATAAGGTTTCTAGAAGAATCATAGGTCTTATTTCATAGGTTCCACTCTACTTAGGAAGCAGTGTTGATTGAAAAAAGAAGTGTGTGTGTGTGTGTGTAACATGTATGTATATATGTTTACATGTACAACTATATATGTATATCATGGGGTGGTAAGGAGGAACAGATTTGTATAGGGACATTGCTTCCTGCAAAGTGGAACTGACAATACCTGCATCAAACCTTTGTCCTCTCTTGGGTATTAGCAATACTCCAGAGTGGATTCTCTGAAGTCTTGCTAAGAAAAGCTGAAAAGAAAGGAGCAGAAGTATTGTGGCAGAGAGGCTTAAGCATATCTCACACCTTTATCTTTCCAGGCTCAAGATTTAGGACTATTATTTCTGACAGTTACAATCCATCAGTGGAGAAATTATGTGGTGGAAAATGATTTTTCACTCAAAATTGGACTGGGTAAGAGATATGAGAAATAGAAACAAATGCAGAACATAGGTAACAGACAAGTGAAAGTATAACTATATAC